ACACACATTTATTGATATAAGTTCTTTAGAAATTTAATGAAAATTTCATCTAAGTCAACAGTCTTTACGTTTATCGTAGCCGTTAGCGTCACAGTTATTTCCGGTATAGTGTATGGGATGGTTAGAGGACTAGTTTCAAGGCAAGTATCAAGGTTTAGAAGGTATTCTTTCCGCACTCTCGGTCTTCTTATGCCTATGGAGCATGTGCATAGCGATGATGTTGTCATCGAAAACTTTCGCAACTTGGTGCTGCCTTGCGGTTCAAGTGTGTAGTCCGGAGTTTGCAGAGTTTTCCTCTCTCCTCTCGTCTGCTCGTAATTCAAGGATTCGATGGGAGCAGATTCAGTTTCAGGAGATTCTCGGCGTCAGCACTCCCTTCGAGGGTCACCTGTCTCCTTTAAGTAACAAAGTGTGTAGACCATCCGGTAACCATGAGGGATGCTGTCTCCCAGAACAAAGGTCAATATTCACACGAACAAAATATGATGACTGAAGCGCAGCCGCGACCCGCCGGATACGGTCTTCGACTTCAGCTTTGTACGATGGACAGGGTACTTTTGAAATTTCCAGCAGAGCATCGGTGCGAACTTTATAAGTGGTACAGGTACACAGATTCAAAGTACAACATGGTGATGACGGAATTTGTGGAAAGAATCCCAGCACAGTCCTGAAGGCTAGGGGACGGAAGCCCCTACTGTCTATGGAGACTAAAAGGAGTTCCGGGCTACAGACAGTCTTCCGTGTCATTACTGCATAAGTACAGTGCTGTTTAGCATCATCACACAAGTATACGCTAGCTGGTGATGTCTACTCGGTTAGTTGATCATTCATCACGTCGTTCACTATATAACCGCATGTCGTGACTGTTAAACTCAGTCGCATGAACAGCTGCTGAGGCAACGTTAGCGATGGTAGTGTTGACCAGTTAGCTCAGAGTAGCTTGCATATGTTAATCGTGGCGATTTTTCGACACATACTATTCGAGTCTTTTCTGTTACTGCATGTTCACCTATCCATTTTTGCCAGCGCTTAGGACCACGACATCCTTGAGGTTAGATATTTGGAGTGATTAGTGCCAACGACCATATGGAAACCAGCAACTTAGCATCCGACCACTTTAAGATCGGCTTCCATTTACGTCTGTTACGAGATGGCAATGCCAATGCTGTTTTGTTTCAAAGTCCTCGATAGGTATATTTGCATTTTGCGAGGGAGAAGCTTTCGATGATCGATTCTTCTTTACCGTCACGGACATGTCAGAATGTACTTTCAACGCTCCAGATTTTGTGTAATCATGTAAGTTTTCGCAGAAGGCAACCGGAGTCAACAGATGCCTCCTTCAATTCACTCGTCCAGGTAAATCTTGACCGTCCCCTGGGCCTTCTGCCGGTCGGTTGGGCAAGAAACTGTTGCTTAGCCTTCCTTTCTGAAGTATCAACACATGCCCAAACCATTGCAGCTGTGACTTCTCAACCTGGAAAAGCAGAGCCTGTATATTAAGGCTCTTGCGGATTTCTGTTTTTCCGACAATGTCAAGACTCGTAATGCTAGCTACCTGTACCCGGAATCGACGTTTCACAGTCATTAAACGCAACTCATGACCGTAGGTAAACATGGGTATATAGATTGACTCAAATTCAGAGAGTCTAGTCTTTAGACACAGCCCTGCTTCAGTCACAGCAGCCCGGAAGAATTCAGGGAGAACGCCACTGGCTACTCCAATTCGCCAGTCGATCTCTTCCTCCAACTTTCCATCACTAGTAAATACGACTTCGAGGTAATTGAACTTCTGAACTTGCCTCTTCGTTCATCTGAACAGAGTAACGGACAATAGAACGAGAAAGCACGAGGCTTTTCGTTCTAGATGCATTTACACGCATGCCGATCACGTCGCACTCAGCTGCGAACCTTTCTAGGGGGCGCTGAAGATCAGTTTCAGAAGATGCTAACAAAACAAGGTCATCAGCAAACAGCTACCTTTTTATCTGCACATCTCCTACACGGATGCACTCATGGCTTGGTCAGAGACCAGTGCCATCACTGAAAGACCTAGACTTAACACCATTTACTCTGATGCTCTACCTGCTATCAGCATATAGTTACTGGATGGCCTGTACCAATCGATTCCGCATATTCGCAGGCATGCCTATAAATTATTGTGCGGGATGAGGCTATGGGCTTTTTCTAGGTCTTCTAAGCACGTGTACACCGGATTGGTGAACTCCCACGACTTCTCAGCAATCTAGCGTAGGCTGAATATCTGATCAGATGTGCTTCGGTTGTACTCGAAGCCACGCTACTCATCTTGCATTTTGGAGTTGGCTATACCGCAAGGACCTCCTTTCTAGCACTTTTTTACAGACTTTACACGAGAGGCAGAAAAAGTGAACGTCCCAAAATTTCGAGCACTACTTATAGTCACCCATCTTGGACAGGAATAGTACAATCACCTTTTTTGAGTTCGCCGATGTCTTCCCAGTAGACATTGACACATGCCCGCACATGACCTGTTCATCAGAGCTTAAGGCATTTCAGGACGGATTGCATTGATTCCATCAGTTATTCCACTTCATAGGTTTTTCCCGCTTCTGTGATTTCCACTACGAAGATACTAAAATCCGTTCCCTGCTGCTTTACAGGCTAGTTTTTCTGCGGTTGCTCAGAGTTAAGGAATTTCTCTAAATACTTTCTCCATCGCCAGAGAATGTCCTCATCCTTCAGGACTCATAGACTACCCTTGTTTTCGTTTCGAAGGCAGCGCATGGTCTTCGAAATACCTTCTTTGCCGTCTGGAAATTGGTCTCCAACACCTCGTCGAACTTCTCCCGGGAACCAGCTGTGGCTTTTTCCAGTACCTTCCCTGCCGTCTTTCGCATATACCCATTGTAGTTCTAAATACCGCACGCGGGTAAAAAACTTTTTGCTTCCAAGCCATTTTTTGAACGCTACTTTCTTCTCTTTAACTGCCAGCTGTACCTCTCGTGTCCACCAGGGAGTTATTTTCTGACCTCTAGGAGACAGACAACTCAGTTTGAAGCAACATCATTCGATGCAAGCCCTGAGTAAGCCACTAGGTTTCTGCATCAGCGGTAAACCATCGTGCAATGTTGTTTGAATGTTTCGCTCTTGTATTTGATTATTAGCTGTGTGTTTCCCATTTGATTCTCAGGTTGTTTTTGCCACCAAATCCTCGCATGATACTCCTTTACTCTCAGCGTAAAATTTCAACAACAAAGGGATGATCGGTTGGCAGCTATGCACTTTGCTTAATACCAACCTCAATTTGAAAGTGTCTTAACTTAGACGATACGATTATCAAATCGATGGTGTAGTTTTGTGCACAAGCTTCCCCATGCCGAGTATACTGATGCACGCTTGGATGATCGAAGAAGGTGTCCATGACAGACACGCCGCTAATTGTTCGAAACGGGAGTTTCATTGCCATTATTGCTAAGGTCACTATGGTCATTTCACTCCAGTCACGTCTTTTCACTTTTAAACGTCTGGCCGATACTCGCGCTGAAATTGCCCATTGGAATGAGGGATTTCGTAATCGGCACTTCGTACAGAACACATTCCTCTTCCTCAAGGAAGATTTCGTATCTCCCTCCAAATTAGGTGTATAGACCGGTAACTGGGTCAGAGTTTTCGCATGTTGGAGGATTGTCAATCTTCCTTTGACAGGCTTCCATTCAATGATTCTGTTAACCAGTTTGGTTTCTACTAGATGTCAGCACCTGAGCAAAATCGAAGTTCAGATTTCGGTTCGTTGACGAGAGTCCAACTATGTCGGGTTGGTACCTTGCGGCCTCATCAACTCACTCCTGCTGTTTCCCTCTAAATGAGGATATATGCCAACTTCTAACTGTAAGCTCCCACTGGTGGATCTTTTTCTGGCGTGCGGTAATGGCATTGCGTTGACTCATCCGTTCAGAATCGGTAGAGCGACTCCGCTGCTGACTTGCATCTTCATCGTCATTTCGTCGGTCTTCGTCAGCCATCGCTGTGCTACCACTCCCCCGGCTGGCAGAGGGCAATGAGCAGGTTCTGATCCCCGACTTTTCGCTGTTTGCCTGAATCCCCCAACAGCCTGCGCGGCCCTTGGTAACCCGGGCGACGACCGAGCCGGTATAATTTTAGAAGGCGTCAATACGATGAGTGACAAGTGGCTAAATTTTACGGAGACCTCGCCACGGCTCCAACCCTCCTCCTTTCTGATTCGGTCTTGTGACCGGCAACGGCGGAGTTGGTTTTCGACGTTTAGCTGAAAAATGTTGTGTGCGACCGAAGGCTTCAGTTCCTATGGCATTATGATGACCGTTGTGTTTTTTGTTTTTCTACGGCCTTGATAAAAACCATTAAACGTTATTTCGTACTGGTCATTTGGTTGATGATTTTAATGGGTTCATTTTTTAACAAATTATTGGTTGTGAGAAGCAACGTTGGGTTCGTAGCTAGAGAAACCGAACGATGGCTCGCGCAAAGTTGGCGACATTTGTTTGCTTGTTTAGCTTTCCCGCATTTTCATCATGCTTAACGAGAGCAGCGTATGATGGCTGTCTCTTGCTCCCTTTAGTGCGATGGCTTCTAATCTGCCTTTGAAATAATGAAACTTTGTGCTGACAGCAAAATTACTATTTTTCTTTTGCCACTAGATTTTTGTTCAATAAAGCAGAATTAATTTGTTCGTTTCCATCTTCATGTTTTGCGCATGTTAAGAAATTACTATAGAGCAATAATTGAACTTTTGGGAAACTAACAATCGACTTCGAATAGAAGCGCCACACGTGCTCTAAGCTAAAATCACAGGTAGCTGTCAGCTGGTGGCATTAAGACCTAAAGATGGAGCATATTTGTGGATTTTTGCGGGCGAGAACGAAGTGGACTGGATTCAAACAAGATTCCAG